TTGTTGGTTTACAAGTAGCGTTGTGATTATAGGAGCTTGATTTATATATGTCCATCGGGTCCCTTTGCTAGCTCACATAATTTCCTGTAACGATATGGTGTATTTCCTACACATTGGTAACTTGTGTTATTTCCGTTAAAGAGGTTCAAAGTTAATTCATGGGTGATTTATCGAGTGAATTAATTGATAAATTAATTCTAGATAAATTGGTTGAATTATTGTTTTAAGAGTTGTTTAATATAGGAAGACTATTATATGACTGTTTTGATTAGGCAATTTCTCTATTGGGTTGTTTGAATCAAAACTGAGGCTCTATGCAAGTTTCTCGTATTGAAAAACTAGAAAAAACAACTTTCGTCAGTGCAGACAGGTCGACCGGTTGGGTAGACCGGTCACAGGTCGACCGGTCCGGTCGACCGGGTTGACCGGTGAGTTATAACGTCTATGTCACCGGTCGACCGGTTGTAACGTAAAATGCATCATGACATGGCAAAATCGACTCTGGATGCGATTAGAACTTTGGGAAACCTAATTGTTACGAAAGTATGACTTCCTAAACACTATAAATAGCCTATTAAGTCACATTACTCATTAGATCACTTGAGAGACTTTTTGGAGGCTATTGATAAAAGATTCCTGAGAGGAAAAATTGTTTAATTCTCAAGAACAATTTTTTCTTTGGTTCTCTTGTGATTGGAAGGAGATCAAGAATACCTAGAGGAGATTAAACGACGTGTACCCACCCGCACACCGATTGTGGAAACGAGAATAGTAAAAAAGACTAGTTGGTTGAGGCTCTTCCGGTTGCTGTTTGGAACGCTTAGATCTGTCAGACGTGCAGTTTCCTAAAATCTCAAAAGGTATGTTTTAGATCTTTAGTATTTATGTTATATAGCATCATGAACATGTTCTTGTTTGGCTTTGACGTTGATTAAAATTTTTAAATTCCGCTGCGCACTCGATGCCATTAATCTTCCAACAGTTCTAACCTGTTTTGTCTCAGGTGTGCCCATACACACGTCTTCATGGATTCTAAGAATTAACGTGGAAGACATTGGTTTTCTACATACAAGGCTTTGGAGCAAGGATTGTTTGAGGTCAAAGAACTCAAGTTATCATCCTAATTGGCCGCCAGGTATTATTACTAATTGAGTTCTTAATAAATAAATCAATTTGATTAATTTATTCGTACATAAATTAATATAATCTATAGAGTATCTCAAACGTTTTATGAAAATTTTTGTAATACTTGATCCGCTATCGTCACACTTCTGCATCCGAATTCGATTCGGAAACCAACAATTGGTCTCAGAGAGGTCTATGGACGATATTAATTTATACTCTGATTATGTGATAATCAAAATTAGTATATTAAATATGTGATATTTAATAATGTATAAACCAACAATTGGTCTCAGAGAGGTCTATGGACGATATTAATTTATACTCTGATTATGTGATAATCAAAATTAGTATATTAAATATGTGATATTTAATAATGTATGTATCTGATGGGTAGGCACTCACATTTATGGATGTTTATATTTAATTCATGTTGATGAATGTATGGATGGTGGATTTGGTCGTTAATTATATGGTTCTATGGATCGCATTAAATCGTTCAAATTAAATTATTTGTAATTTTATTCGGGATTAAAATTATTGTAATTCTAGGGTTTGGGTAGATAAGGGTTTTTATTTTGAGTCAAAAGAAGCCCAAAAAATCGCCCCATGCAGCCTCGGACATCCAGCCAGAAAAATTGCCCAGACTGCCCAGGACCCAGAGAGCCTCGAGCGTGCGCCCAGACCACCCTGTGCGAGTTCCCAGACCACCCAGCATGCGCGCCAGCACACGCCCGGTCAAATCCATCTCAATAGCCGATTGCATATATTTATATTTTATGTTGATAATTATATATTATATGTCCATGCATATAACATGCCACATAGATATAGTGTGCATAGTCATATGTTTTATAACATGCCATGCATACACGCGCATTTATTATTATTTATTTTATTTATTTAAAGAGTTTTAAAAGGATAAAATAAAATAAGAATCATGCGCTAAAATCGATTTAATATGATTAAATTGATTTAAGTTCCAAAATTGATTTACAAAATAATGTTATATGTGAAATTGAATTTAAGAGTTAAATTTTAGAATTTCACATATCCGAAAAATAAATTGTTTATTTATCAGGATTTAAAAAATAGGAGATGATTTTCAAATAAAATATATATTTGCAAAATAATGAGTGGGATAAGGTTGTATGACAATATGACCCACTAGTCCCCGCCGCTAGCGCAACATCGTGAGATCTAGATAGGGCTTTGCGGCGACATTGATTTGTCCTCCCAAAGGAGAGTGTTCTTGCCGGATCAATAACATGGTTGGCTTCCTAGAGATAGGATTTTAGGATATATTTTTGAATTGACTACCCAAAGGTAGCAATCCGGAGTTAAGTCTATGGGATTTGAAATGGTAGGTTACACTCATAAAAATATAATCAAATTTGTTGTTTATATTTTGACCAAAATAACGGTAGTTAATAAATATAAAAATATGTGATATTTTGACTATATTTATTAATTGAGAAGAGTCTCGGTGTAATTTACATATAATTTGACTACCCAAAGGTACACTTTATTTGTGAAAAATTAGATTATCGTTGGCACCTAAAATTAAAACATGATTTATATATTTTTCATGTGCATAATGCATCATATTTAATTGTGCCAAAATTCACATACCTTGATATTCATGCACATAAATTGATTAGATGAATATTCTATTTATTTCCAGCAATATGTAGAATCTTATAATCACACTACTTGCGACTGAAAAACTGATGGTGATAACTACGCTAAGTGGAAAAGTAACATGAACATACTATTAGTCTGCGATGACTATAAATTTGTCCTAGTAGAGGAATGTTCTCAAGAACCCACGGCTAATGCATCTAAAACCGCTCGGCGGCCTTATGATCGTTGGATCAAGGCCAACAATAAAGCAAAGTGCTATATGTTGGCCAGCGTGAGGGATGTGCTTCGCAAGAAGTACTTGGAGATGGAGACTGCTTATATGTTTGGTGCTCTTTCAGAGAAGGCTCATTTAGATGCTGTCAGGGCTTTCATGAACGACAAGATGAAGAAAGGCGTTTCGGTCAAGGCACATGTTTTGAACATGGTTGATCACCTCCATGAGGCAGAGCTCAATGGTGTCAGGATCGATGAAGCCATCCAAGTTGGCATCATCTTATAGAGCCTATCCCTTGATTTTCATGAGTTCATAAACAACTATGTTATGAACAAGAATATTTCTAACCTTGCTGAACTCTTGAATGACCTACAAAACTTTGAATCCACCAACAAAAGTAGGGGAAGAGAAGCAAATGTTATTGTTGCAGGAGGATCTGGTAAAAACAAAAGGAAGAACCAAAACCAAGGCAAAGGGAAAAAAGGAACGAACAAGAAACCTAAGAAGACCAAAGGCTCCAACCATAAACCCAAGAGAAAGTGTTTCCACTGCAATAGCGAAAGGCACTGGAAGAGAAACTGTAACAAGTATCTCGAGGAGCTGGAAAAGAAAAAGGAACAAGGTAAATCAGATTTACTAGTTCTTAAAACATGTTTAGAATAGGATGATACCTCGGCCTGGATAATTCATTCGGGAACAACTAATATGTTTGTTTTTCCTTGCATAGTCTTAGTTCTTACACCAAGCTAGCCGATGGGGACTACACGATGAAAGTGGGCAATGGTGCAAGAGTTTCGGCAAAAGCAGTGGGAGAAGTTAGACTTCGTTTTAGGGAAAATAACTTGTTAGTTTTGAACAATGTTTATTTTATTTGAGGCATTCGTAGAAATGTGATTTCTGTGGCTAAGTTATTCGAACAATTATTTAAAGTTTATTTTTACAATGAATTTGTTCATATTTCTCAAAATGGTTTAAATATTTATTCTGGATGATGGTTTATATTGTATAAAACCAATACCTAACTCACTGCTTAATACTGAAATATTCAAAGTTGCTGAACCTAAGAATAAAAAGTAAAAGATTTCTCACGATAATAACACATATTTGTGGCATCTTAGGATTGGTCATATTAACCTAAACATGATTGAAAGACTAGTAAAGGATGGTCCTTTACGCGAACTAAAAGTTGGTGAGCTTTCGGTCTGTGAATCTTGTCTCGAAGGTAAAATGACCAAGATGCCTTACACGGCGAAAGGAGAAAGAGCTACAGAACCCCTTCAGCTAATGCATTCGGATGTATGTGGACCATTAAACGTCCAAGCTAGAAGACATTACGAATATTACGTCACCTTTATTGATGACTATTTGAGATATGGTTATGTTTACCTAATGCAACAGAAATCCAAAACTTTTAGAAAGTTTAGATAATTCTAAGCAAAAGTTGAAAAATAGTTAGGTAAACCAATCAAGACACTTCAATCAGATCGAGGGGGTGAATACCTGGACCAAGAGTTCTGGGATTTCTTGATTGAAGAAGGTGTGGTATCCCAATTGATTGTACCTGGTACACCGTAGCATAATGGTGTAGTCAAAAGGAGAAATCAGACTTTGCTCGACATGATAAGATCAATGTTGAGTTATTCTTCATTGCCTACTTCATTATGGGGTTATGCCCTCAGAACAGCTACCTACATTCTGAATAGAGTACCATCTAAGTTTGTTCGTAAAACACCTTTAGAGTTGTGGTGCGGTCGAAAACTCGGTTTAAGACACGTATGCATATAGGGGTGCCCAACACATGTGCTGAAAGGAAAGACTGGGAAGTTGGAAATCAAAATCAGAAGTATGTATGTTCGTATGATATCCTGATAGGACGAAGGGAGGTCACTTTTATAGTCTCGAATATCAAAAAGTGTTTGTATCGACAAATGCCACGTTTCTGGAGCATGACTATATGATAGATTTTAAGCCCAGAAGCAAAGTAGTTCTGGAAGAGTTACTATTTGATGAGATTAGACCACAGCCAGTAAGAGTTGTCGGACCACCAAGAGAAAAGACCATAGTTCATGATCAGACTCCAGTGGCACCTCGTCGTAGTGGGAGGGTAAGTAGGTAACCCGACCGGTATACCGGGAAAACCCATATCATCACTGCTGATGACGGTAAGGAGGATCCATCAACCTTTAAGGATGCGATGGATGATTTTGATAAGGAAGAATGGCAAGCAGCTATGAAACTCGAGATGGAGTCTATGTACTCTAACTCAGTCTGGCAACTTATAGATCTACCCGAATAGGTAAAACCCATTAGATGCAAATGGATCTTCAAGAGAAAGAGATGAGCGGATAGAAAAGTAGAGACCTATAAAGCAAGGCTAGTGGCTAAGGGTTATACCCAAAAAGAGGGAGTTGACTATGAGAAAATTTTCTCACCAGTTGCTATGCTTAAGTCCATCTGGATACTTCTGGCCATTGCAACATATTTTATCTATGAGATATGGCAGATGGATGTCAAGACAACCTTTTTGAATGACTATCTTGAGGAAACCATCTATATGGATCAGCCATAGGGTTACATAGAGGAAGGCCAATAGCAGAAAGTCTGCAAGCTACAGAGATCCATTTATGGACTGAAGCAGGCTTCTAGATCATGGAACATCAGGTTTGATGATGCTATAAAGTCTTATGGATTTGATCAAAACATTGATGAACCATGTGTTTACAAGTACAAGAAAAAAGAGAAAGTGGTCTTCTTAGTTCTTTACTTTGATGACATCCTGCTCATTGGGAATGATGTGGGATTGATGACAGATGTAAAGGAATGGTTAGCCAACCAATTCCAAATGAAAGATTTGGGAGAGGTAAGCTATGTTCTTGGGATTAAAATTATTCGAGATCATAAGAAAAAGTTGTTAATGTTATCACAAGCATCGTATATAGACAAAGTGTTGTCTAGGTTTTCGATACAGAACTCCAAGAAAGGGAATTTACGTTCTAGGCATGATATTCATCTTTCTAAGGAGCAATGTCCAAAGACTCCACAACAAGAAGAAGATATGAGACGGTATCCCTATGCATCGGCTGTGTGAAGCCTCATGTATGCCATGTTGTGTACAAGACCAGATATCTGCTATGCAGTGGGAGTTCTCAGTCGCTACCAGTCCAACCCAGAATTAAATAATTGGGTTGCAGTGAAGTGTATTCTCAAGTATCTTAGGAGAATGAGAAACTATATGTTAGTATAGTCCAAATAAGATATGTCTCTTACCGGATACACAGATTCAGATTTCCAATCGGATGAGATAGTTGAGGGTCGACATCTAGATCTGTGTTCACTCTTAATAGGGAGTCGTGGTATGGAAAAGTGTAAAACAAAAGTGTGTTGCTAACTCTACCATGAAAGCTGAATATGTTGCAGCTTGGGAAGCCACAAAAGAAACTACATGGCTCCAGAAGTTCTTAACTAATCTGGAAGTTGTTCCAGATATGGATAAGCCAATTAAGCTTTATTGTGACAACAGTGGAGCGGTGGCTAATTCAAAAGAACCTAGAAGCCATAAGAATGCTTAACATATAGAAAGAAACTATCACCTGATCAGAGACGTTGTGGATAGAGGCGATGTAGCGATTCTGAAGATCACGTCAGAGAACAACCTTGCTGACCCGTTCACGAAGACATTACCACTGAACGTATTTGATCAGCACTTGGGATTAGAGACATGACACACCTGCTTCAAGACAAGTAGGAGATTTTTGGGAATGGTGTCCTAGAAGGATAAGATGTAATATGATATTTATTATGTATTTAATAAAAGAGTTTATTCATCATTTTATGTGCATATATTTGTGAATATTTCATGAATATTAAATGAAAATTTCGTGATTATTTATGTGACGTTAAACATTGTATATAAGTGTTGTATGCGAGGGGATAATATTTAAGGATAATAATCAAAAAGCGATGTTTGTAATAAATTTAATTAAAGTTCAGAATCTTTAATTAGAACATTACTAATACATGTCATTCCCATTTAGAATGGAACGGTGTTATCGGCACTGTTAATATGGTGAGCTATTGAATGAGTGTATTACGCATAATGAGATTATGTAAAACAAGGACACAGACACAATATGAATTTCTAATAATTTCCGTTAAGTATAGAAATTCTAATTGAGTCTACCGATGGTCATATATAGAATGATCTTAATCCTGAGTTCTTAACAAACTCCTATTTATGGATTTGTGTCTTTTGATTTACTTGGTACGGATTCTGAGACCCTGAATCCTATTCCTTGTATTTTGGAGACATGATGAAGTAGGTAGCCGGGAATGTTATTATACGAGATGGAATCCATTCCTTCTTGAGAAAGAAGCAAATAAATAATTCTCTTGAGTGTTGATTCGGTACTTGGATTAGTAAGAGCGCTCTGGTTCATGAATGTGTTTTATAAATCACTATCCATTAGAGAATCAATGGTATTCAAGGATGAAGATATAATTAGAGAGGTTAACGGATTTTACCAAGCTCTAATTATAAATTATTTAGAGAGGATTGATCTAAATACAGTGACTATATCAAATAGACACTTCACAGTTTAGATGTAATTTTTGTCTATAATTTTATGAGTACAATTCTAAGTTTATAGTGGAGTAACTATTGAAATTAATATAATTAATTAATTAATTAAAGTGTGTGATTAATTATTAATTTTATTGGAGCTCAGAATTCTAGGTCCATTAGTCCCTACGTCGTCCTAGTAATTCTTCGAGACACAAATGGCAAAATGAGAATTTTAGAATTATGAAATTCTAAAATTAAACACTCGAAATAATTAATTGAGAATTAATTATTATTTAAATAATATGATTGTTTAAATTTGAATTTGAACACATTTAGATTTATCCATTTAAACTTATTTGATAAGTTGTTCAATTTAATATTCAAATTAATTTAAGTTTGACTTAAATTGGAATTTGAATTTGAATTAAAATTGGATGCACGATAAAGGATGATTTTCTCTTCCTTTCCTATCTGTATTTGGTACCACACAAGGATAAAATCCTCTACACATGGCCAGCCACACCTAGGATAAGGGAGTGGGAGATTTTGTTCTAAATTCAAATAGGAGATAATTAACAAGCTTTATCTTGGAGATAAAGATTGGATTCCTTCTAAGAGTTTGACTTCTACTCTATAAATAAGAGAATAGTAGAAAATTGTGAGACACAATTTTTGCCCTAATTTTGAGTGGTGGCCAAATTCTCTAAAGAGTGAGAGGAAAATT